TGGCTAAAAGCCCCCAACAATAGCCATGCCACTGCCCCAACTTTCGACTGCCTTGAAATTTCTCTTGCCAGATTAACCAGTCCGCTGCCGCCCTTAATCTCAGTCTTAGGCAAAGTCTCTGGACACGAGCAAAATGCAGACAAACTTTCTGTCAAGCCATAACATACATCATCTGGAGTCCAACAACCGGTGCAGTCCTTCTTCCCAACAGAAACCTCCAGAACCCAGTCTTTACCGGCAAGAATTCTGTCAGCTTTCTGGTCTTCTGAGCTCTGACCAGAATCTCCCAAACAGAACAGCCAAAGGCGTTCTAGCGCTTCTCTTTCGGGCGACATCTCCAAACCTTTTCAAACACTCCCCACAAGCCATTTCCAAAGGCTCTTGAACCACATGGTCAGATATAGTCACAGCAAGGACCCCACTCCTCTGGTACCAAATTCTGTCTCAGTTACTTTTTTCTCACTGCCGGGACAAAATACCTGATGCCCAAAATTAAGGAAGGAAAGGTTTATTTCGCCTACAGTTCGTGGAAGTTTTAATCTGTACTTGGCAGGATTATAAGGCAGAGTGGCACATTGCAGAGAGCTGCATCTCAGGGCGGCAGCACAGCAAAGCAGCAAGCACACATCAGGGTGGAATGGGGGAGGAATGCCCCAAGCACTCTTTTCCTGTCCCTTACATATGCAAACTATCCACTCCCAGGCGGGTGCAGCTCTCACACCCATATTCAAACTCTAATAGCCTGCCCCAGGGCCGCAGGAGGCTTTGGGGGGGGACACACAGACATAAACCATAACACTGATTTTAGAGCAAAAGCTTTCAATTGTTGTCCATTCAGTATGATGTTGGCTATTGGTTTGTCATAGATGGCTTTTGCCAGATTGAGATAAAGACCATCTAGTCCAATTGTCTGTAGTGTTTTTTTTTATCATGAATTATTGTTGGACTTTGTCAAATGCTTTTTCTGCATCTATTGAGATGATCATATGGTTTTTCTCCTTAGATCTGTTCAGATGGTGTGTTATATTTACTGATTTACATATGTTGAACCATCTCTGCATCCCTGTGATGAAGCTTACTTGGTCCTGGTGTTTAATCATCTTCTTTTGAGATAAGGTCTCACTATGCAGTTCAAGCTCACAACAATCCTCCTGCCTCAGCCTCCTATGTGCGGGAATTACAGGCATGTACCACCACGCCAGGCTATAATCATCTTCTTGATGGTTTGTTGCATTCTGTTTGCCAATATCTTTTTCTTTTTTTTTTTTTTTTTTTTGTCTTTTTGGGACAATGTTTTGCTGTGCAGTTCAGGCTGGCCTTGAACTCACTTTGTAGCCCAGGCTAGTCTTGAACTTACAGTGATCCTCCTGCCTCAGCCTCTCGAGTGTTGGGATTACAGATATACACCAGCATGCCTGACCCTGCCAGTACTTTATTGAGGATTTTTGCATCTATGTTGATTAGGGAGATTGGCCTGTAGTTCTCTTTCTTAGTTGGGTCTTCCTCTAGTTTTGGTATCAAGGTAATGCTTGCTTCCAGGAATGAATTTAGAAGTACTGCTTCCCTTTCAAGTTCATTAAAGAGTTTGAGAAGTAAACAGCATTAGGTCTTCTCTAAATGTCATGTAGGATTCAGCAGTGAATGCATCAGGACCTGGGCTTTTCTTTATGGTAGGTTTTTAATTACATCTTCAATTTCTTTGACTGATATTTATGTAGGATTTTTATATCTTCTTGATTCAGCTTTGATAATTTATAGTGTACAGGAATCTGTCCATTTCTTCTGCATTTTCCACCTTTCTAGAATACAAGTTCTCCAAGTAGGTATAGATGGTTTTCTGGATTTTTGCAGGATCTGTTGTGATTTCACCCTTTTCATTCCCAATTGCATGGATTTGAGTCTTTTCTTTCCTTTTCTTTCCTTTCCTTAGGTTGGCTAAGGGTTTGTTGATTTTATTTAATCTTATTTTGTTTTCTTTCTATATGAAGGGCATCAAACGTGCTAGCCAAGTGCTCTACCCCTTGAGTTACATCCCCAGACCTTTTTAAAAAGTATTATTTTGAGACAAGGTCTTGCTAAATCACCCAGACTGGCCTCAGACTTGATATTCCCACCTCTTATGCATGTGGACCACCATATGTGGCTCTAGCTACTGTTGAACGGTGTCTTTATCCCTTCAGTTCAGCCAGTTTTTGCTTCATGTGTTCTGAGGCTCTGTGGTTAGGTGCCCACACTGTGTTTTTGTCATCGTGTAGGCTCTAGTAAATGGCAACACTGACACACTGACCTGGTCAAACTGGAGTTTGAAAGGCATTTAAAGTCTTGTTTTCTAGCATCTTGACCACCATGATGAATTGCAAAGTGGCGGCTAAAAACATGGGTTTTGAGCTGGGTGTGGCGACGCACACCTGTAATCCCAGCATTCAGGAGGTTGAGGCAGGAGGATCGTTGTGAGTTCGAGACCAGCCTGGGAGCTCAAGGCCAGCCTGAACTGTGTAGTGAGACCCTGTCTCAAAAGACAAAAAAAAAAAAAAAAAAATGGGTTTTGAAGCCCCTGAGACTTGGGCTCAGATCCAGATTGCCACTTTTTATTTTTAGTACTGGGGATTGAACCCAGGGCCTTTGCACTGAGCTACATCCTCAGCCCTTTTTCTTTTAAAATTTTGAGACAAGGTCTCTCTAAATTGCCCAGGCTGGGCTGGAACTGGCAATCCTCCTGTCTCAGCCTGCTAGAGTGTAGGCATGTGCCACCATGCCCAGCCCAGATCGTCACTTACAGCCCATGTTACCTTAGTTAAATCACACAACCATCTGGGTCAGTTTCTTCCCCTGTAAAACTCGGATAATGATAATATCTACCTCATTGGATTATAAGGCTTAAATGGGATCGTATGTAATGCACTTCACTTAAACTGTTGCTTGCTTACCATCTATCCGATAGTAGAACAAGTTGGCATTATCTGAGTTGAGTATATGTTCACACATGACATGAGAGAGGCTCCCAAAACAGTGTGAGACAGAAGCTACTCAGAGATAAAGCATTTGCTATGATTGGTCTCAGATGTACACACCTACCATCCATCAAAAGCTGTAGATGAGCCGGCATGTGGGTATGTACCCATAATCCCAGCTACTCCAGAGACTGAGGCAGGAGAAACACAAGTTTGAGCCCAGCCTGGGCAATTTAGCATGATCCTCTCAAAAATTTTAAAGGCCTGGGAAGATATAGCTTAGTAGTAGAGTGCCCCTAGGTTTATCCCTATTACTGGATCAAAAAAAAAAAGCTCTGATGAGAACATTTTACCATTTCCAACAATAAAGTTTTATATTATATCACACTTGCAGAAAAGCAGATAGCCGGGCATGTTGGCGCACGCTTGTAATCCCAGCACTCGGGGAGCTGAGGCAGGAGGATCATTGCAAGTTCGAGACAAGCCTGGCTACAAAGTGAGCTCAAGGCCAGCTTGAACTGCATAGTGAGACCCTGTCTCAAAAAGTAAAAAAAAAAAAAAAAAAGAAAAGCATATAAAACAAAAATATTGTTTGTTACCAAACAAACACTTGCGTATCCTAAACATAGGATATGCATAGGATATGAGTGAATATTCTCAGCACTTCAAAATTTCTGGTAACCCCATATACTCAGTAAAGAACAATGTTTTGAAGACTTACGCTTTGAAGAAGTATGAGAATGCTGTTCTACCCTCCTTCCACAGAGCACACCTGCCACAGATCCCATATGCTTTAGGAATTCAGATGCCCAGAATCCCATGAGTAGATACTATTCTTTTACCATTCCTCCATCAACAGTCCTCTTTGACATGCAAATACTTGCGCATTTACCAACCAGTTTAACACTTTGAACACAGCACTAACAACTTGTCAGTTTTCTTTCTTTCTGCTAGGGGAGCTCCAAGACAACATTAACAACTGTAATTACTCAAAAGTGGGATACAGATAGGGGCAGGACGGTTCTCAGAGGCAAGGAAAGCAAACCTTTCCCCTTTGAGTATGTTTTTTTGTTTGTTTGTTTTTTGTCTCCCTCCCACCCCCACCCCACCCCCGTACCGGGAATTGAACTCACAACCTTGCGCTTGCCAGGCAGGCACAGTGCCGCTGAGCTAAATCCCCAGCGCCCCCTTTGAGTATGTTTACAACTGACTCTCAGACCAGACGTCTCCATGGGAAGAGACCAGCCAGTGCGCAGACACCACAGTATTTTCCAGACGCCTCACTTTGTGCTTTTTCTTTTTCTTTTTTTTTTTTTTTTTGTCTTTTTGAGATAGTGTCTCTCTATGCAGTTCAGGCTGGCCTTGAGCTCACTTTGTAGCTCAGGCTGGTCTCAAATTCACAATGATCCTCCTGCCTCGGCCTCCCGAGTGCTGCGATTACAGGCGTGTGCCACCACGCCCAGCACTTCATGCTTTTTCCCAGTTCAGAGGTGATAGGCCTGTTAGCAGCTGAGGCCATTAGATTCTACATGCCCAACTTTTAGGGTTAGCAGTGACATGGCCCTTAAGTCCCCCACCCCTTAGTCTCCAGCAGTCAGGTAACGCTTTTTCCTAATATCTGCCAAACAGTTGTGCCTCAGAGTCAAGGAGCAAAAGTGCCAAAGGAGCTCAGCCACCGTTCTCAGCGCCAGGGCTCATGTGTTGTTCTCTTTCTGGGTTTAGATTACATGCACAGCGCCCACCGCCCTGTCACTGGGGGCCACCTGGGGAAAAAGGAGAGTAGTTATGTGGGCAGCATGGGCACCAGCCCCCGGAAGTCGAGTCGCTGCACGCCCCCACCTGCCGACTCTGAGCTTGTCAGCTTCTGCTACCTCCATATGCGGGAACAAAGGAAAGAGCAGGAAAGCCGGACAGATGTCAACGAGAACCTAATCTTCTTTGAGGAGACCAGGCCCCGGACCAAGTCTGACCCCACATCCAAAAGCTCTGGCCAAGGTTACCATGTGGTCCCTGATGACTTTGATGCAGCCAGCTTAGACCACGAGCCTTGTGCCAGCAGGGCTCGGTCCTACACCTTGGACAATTCCCTTGGGGCTGAAGCCCTGAATTTCTACTGTGACTCTTGCAAAACCAAACTCCAGGAGCAACTGGGCCCTCGCAAAGGCGGGAGGCCTGGCTCTTCTCGTGACAATATTGTAGACTTGATGTCCCTTCCACCACCCGGGAGCGAGGAGGAAGAGGAAGAGGAAGATGAGACAACTTCTCTGTTGCCTGCCATTGCCGCCCCACCCCCAGGTTTTCGAGACAACAGCTCAGATGAAGATGACCCCAAGCGCCGGGCTGTCCAAAGCCAGGAACAAGGACGCCACCTGCGTGGGCTCCTGTATGATGAGATTCCAGTGACACTGATTGACAGCGTGCAAACCCGGACAGTCAGAGATCACGCCCAGGAGCTAGATGATGCCCTGGTGTCCACTCTGCAGGCTCTGGAAGCCCTGGCTGCTTCAGAGGATGGAGCACACCCCCCGCCCCCACAGACAGCAGGTAACCACCTGTTCCTCCTCCCTCTCGTCTCCTTTCCTTCTCCTGGCCAGGAAGGGTCACCATGGAACTTTGCATCTTCCCAAGCGGATGTTAAAGTCACCATGGTATGTCAGGGCAGTGGACTGGCCAGAAGCCATTCGGGTAGGGTCCAGGGAGCAACAGTGCCGTGGCAGGGATGGGCTGTAGAGCTCTACCTGGAGCTCTGCTTCTCACCATTCCATCTCTCTGGACATGTCTTGTAAATGGATCCCAGGGATTGGGGCCATGACAGCTACAGAGCCAGGCCAGGATGGAGGATCAGAGAAAAACTGTGAGAGATACAGGCCCAGAATATCTACATGCACCTGACTGGAGGAAAAGCAAAACTAATCACCCAGTGCTTTGGGATTAGGGGAGCCAAGAGCCATCACTGCTCAGAACCGAGGTCTGTATTCTGCCTGACAACCTGGGCTCTAGTCACAGTGTGACCGATGGTGAGGCACTCCCTCCCTCTCTGAGCCTCACTGTTGGCATTTTCAATGGGTATGACAACAGTCATCATGGCATGCAGGGTTATGCAGGTTCAGTGAGATGATTCCGGCAAAGCTTAAACACTGCCTCACACATGTCCAGTAAGGATTCGGTAAGCGGTGCCTACTGCAGTTAATTATTAGAGGATGGGAGAGCCATACAACGTGCCTGTTCTCCCCTGCTGTAGACACATATGTATCCTTTTTCTAGACCAATACACACCAACCCCTAGTCACACATACACACACCTTTAAAAAGAGCGGTAAGCCGGGCATGGTGGCACATGCCTGTAATCCCAGCACTCGGAGGCTGAGGCAGGAGGATCGTTGTGAGTTCAAGACCAGCCGGAGCTACAAAGTGAGCTCAAGGCAGCCTGAACTGCATAGAGAGACCCTGTCTCAAAAAAAAAGACTAAATAAATAAATAAATAATAAAAAGAGCGGTAAATGAGGAAGGGGAAGAAACAGAAAAACAGCAACAGAAAAAGAGATAGGGAAGAATAAGGAGTATGAGCAAGCATGTGTGAAGGGCCCAGGCCGTTCCCACAGCCCCTTACTCTCTTGGGTAAAGGGACTGGGGTCCCAGGAAACCTGCCTTTTCTGTAAAGGAAGGTGCCCTTAGTGCTGGGCAGCCCCCACATCCCCCCCCCCCAGGAGGGGCTGGCATTTCTCTTTGCTCCAAGTCTAGAGCTCCAAGTGCTAGCTGCTCCCAGGCTGGAGACCTATCTCGCTGCGAGAGAGAGGATAAACTCAGCTGAATGGCCTCAGCTGCATGGGCTCTGGACAGGCCTGGCCAGATGAGAAAGGCTAGAACTTGCCAGCCCTCTTCAGGACAATTGACACACATCTTCTAGTTGTTGAATCTAAAAATAGTGTTGATTAGCATGTTGTTTTGCATGTGTTTTGCATGTTAATTTGTCACCAATTGCGTAGACCTTCCCTTCCCCTCCTTTTGTTACTCTTTTATTATTCTAGCCTTTTACACCTTTCCTCACATCTTGCTCCTCTTTGTCCCTACTCCCACCATTAGCCCTACCCTCTCCCCACGCCTGACGGGGTTTCCCTCCTTGAAATACTGATGGCTAACTGGGGCCTCCATGAACTCTCTGTGTGTGGTGGTCAGTAAGTGTAACAGGTCCCATTCCTATTCCTCCAGGTCTGATTGTGCTGGCCACAATTACTCCTGAATCGTCACTGGACTCGGGCCATGAAACCAACTCTTCAGAGCTCACAGACATGTCAGAGATGATGTCTGCCATGAAGCAGCACCAGAACACCACCTATTTCCTGGCCCAACACCTCAATAAGGACCTGCCCTTCCGGATCCAGAGCTGCGCAGCCCAGGCTGTTCTCACAGCCCCTTACTCTCTTGGGCGACCAGATCCCAATCCAGCTGTCACAGGCCAGAGTCCTGGCCCCCCAGGCGCTCGGAGAAAGCTGCCCCAGCCAGAGGCCCAGGCACAGGGAGAGCGAACATACTCCCTGGCAGTGCATCCGGCACTGTCACCTCAGCTTAGTCAGCTTGGTGAGCAGAAGAATCTGAGCCTGCTGCCCCCGGTGCCTGAGGACAGAGGGTCTGGCCACACAAGGGCCGGCATGGAGATGTCTCTGAGAGCAGCCACACCCTCCCTCAGTGAAGAGCAGGTCTCAGAGCTGAGGGAGAACCTGCCCAAGGAGGTCAGGGTGAGCCCCAAGTTTATCCTGGACCCCAAAGGCAGTGTGACCCCAGCTATCATCTCTGCTGCCCTACAGCAGGTGGTTCATAGTAAGAGTCTAGCTCCCGCTGGTGGGGCCTTGGGGCACCCTGCTGGCAGGGGAGAGAGAAGGCTGGAGGCCAGCATAGGGAGACCAGAGCTCAGCATGGGCAGGCCAGAGGTTAGCATGATGGGCAGTAGTGCCAGTAAGAGTCTGAAGTTTAAAATAAGCCCCGGTGCTCTAGAGGCTTCACGGAATTCCCAGCAGCAGCTGGGCCCAGAGGTCTCCTCCAGCCCCAGAGCACCTGCAGGCAGCCGAGCCGACAGCCTACAACTCTCCCAAGAGGAGAGGCTCCCTGCTCAGAGTCTCCCTCCCAAAGGCTATCTTCCACGAACAGGTCGAGAGTCAGCAGGCAAGCAAGCCACGGGGGAGGTGGTCAGCAAGGATGGACCAGAGGGCGCAAAGCCTGCCTCGCACAAGCAGGGTGGCATCTCCAACCAAGGGGAGAAGGGCCAGCTGGATAGCACATCCAAAAGCAGCAAGCTTGAGGACACTAGCCTGGTCCCCCGAGCTAGCTACTCCATGGCTCTGCAGAGCCCCAGCTGCCAGCCTGGAAGCCACAGCCCCAGCTGCCAGTCTCGAGGCCAGAGCCCCAGCTGCCAACCTCGAGGCCAGAGCCCACTGAAGCCTCAGACTACCAGCCGGCAGGTGAGCACCATGCCTTCCAGGAAGCTTGAAACCCTGGATGGAACCCATTCAGCTTCTGAAGGCCCCACAAAGCCCAAGTCGTCCCGAGGTCCATTTCGGCTGCGCAATTTATTCTCCGCCACCTTCCCCACCCGCCAGAAAAAGGAGACAGATGAGCGACAGGCCCAGCTGCAGAAGGTAAAGCAGTATGAGCTGGAGTTCCTCGAGGAACTTCTAAAGCCACCAAGCCAGGGTGAGCTGCCCAGCACCGAATACCTGCAACCTCCCGCACCTGGCCGCTGCAGCTGCCAGCTACGCAGCAGCCCCGTGCAGCAGGGGCCTGGCATGTCCCGAGAGCAGAGGCGCAGCTGTGACTGCAAGCGCATCTGCCGGGGGGGCCGGCCACAGACTGCCCAGACGCCAGTGCCTGGCCTGCGGGGAAGGGAGAGGGACAGGCTCCCCCCTACTCAGAGGCAGCCAGAGGCTGGCCCAGGCTTGAGCCTCAGCAGCCCCATCAACGTCCGGCGCATCCGTTCCACCAGCCTGGAATCCCGAGAGTGCCGATCGGAGCCTGAGAGTGGTGTTTCCTGCCTGACCACGTGTGCCTCAGGGGGTGAGTGTCTGGGAGCTCCCAACTATAGAAAACTGATGCGCCGCTACAGTATCAGTGAGCTGGACCAGAGTGACAGGGCCTCACTAACCTCGGATGTCTACCCGCACCCACCCCTGGGCATGCTACCCAGGGAAGCCAAGGAGGTAGAGGCAGGCCTCCCCCTAGGCTTGGGTCCCAAAAGCAAGTCAGTAGAGTCACCAACCCTAGGAGATCCCTCATACGTCCAGGTTGTCCCTGAGACCAAAGGCCCCGGACAGATGGCTGTGTTCTCCCTACCAGAGGAGGTGTACCGGAAGCCTGCCGAGCTGGACGAGGACAGTGAAAGTAGCAAGTGCTGCTCTATCCGATACTGCTTCTACTACCGCAAGTGTGACATGGCAGATGATGCCAGTGATGGCAAGGACGAGCTCTCCTACTCTATCCCCATGAAGATTCTGCCGGGCATGAAGTTGGACGAGCAGGTAGTGCCTGTGGTGAGCAGGACCCTGCAAGTGCTGGACGCGGCCACCTGCAGCAGCAGCCCTGAGGCTTCGCGCACCCAAGAGATTGACCTGCGGGTGTCCACCTTCGAGGGGAGCCTGGCCAAGATCAATGCCCTACGTGCCCATGCCTATGGCCTCCCTGATGGCTTCCTGGCTGCCCGGCTGGACACTAATGAGCTGCTGACAGTCTTAAGGCAGTGTGTGGCCAGCCCCGAGGCCCGTGCTCCCAAGCCCTATGTCTCTCAGATCTCTGAGTACAAGCTCGAGCTAGCTCTCAAGTTCAAGGAGCTCCGGGCTTCCTGCCGCCGCGTGGCCAACGTGGACAAGAGCCCAACTCACATGCTGGCAGCCATCACAGGCAGCTTCCAGGTGCTGAGCAGCCTCATTGAGACGTTTGTGCGGCTGGTGTTCATTGTGCGCTCTGAGGCCCAGCGCCAAGAGCTGCTGGCCAAGGTGGAAGAGGTGGTGAGGAATTACACCTTCCTTTTGCGTGCAGCTGAGGAGTCCACAGCCCGGAACCTTAACCAGCAGCAGCAGCAGCAGCAGCAGCAGCAGCAGCAGCAGCAGCAGGCAGCAGCAGCTACAGGGGCAGCCATGGGGCAGCCACCAGGGTCCCCAGCTTCAGTGACTGTTATGAGCACATTCACCCGCTCCTTAAAAACCCTTATTAAGTAGGGCATCTGCCCAGTTCTGCCCCCCCCAACCCCCAGGTTTGAGCTTCGTGGTCTGTGCATCTTGTGGTGAGTGTGTGTGTCTCCTGGGCCAGTCAGGGTCCACGAGCCAATCAGTCTCCAGGGAGTGAAAACTCCCTCAACTGAGGCTCTTTTTTAAGGGCTGCAGGTCTTGCTGCTGCCCCGGGTGTTCTCACCTCTTCTCTGGCCTCTGGGCATCACTGTGAGGGCAAAGGCCCCTCGCCACTCTGCCCACCACAGAGCTATATTTTCTCTCTTCTCTGTGGCCGAGAGGCGACATCAGGCTCATGAGTTGGGCCCTGGGAAGCTAGGGCCTCGAGCTTCTCTTGGAGTGTGCTCCCCTACATGGAGGGGTGGCAGTAGCAGTAGGCCACAGCCTTGCACCAAGGGGCGAGGGTGCTCAGTCCAGATGTGCCCATCCGCCCACCCTGTGCTCACACACACCTGGCGGGAACCCTCCAAGGGCCCATGCCTAGGTGGGACGTGTGCAGAAAACAGCTGCGCCCGACTCTTTGCAGCCAGTCAACAGGCTGGCAGCCTCGGGAGCCCTCGCCCCCTGGTCCGGTAGTTCCACACCAGCCATCCCCAAAGTGCCCTGCCCCTCACCCATGGGCAGGGAAGCTCAGTCCACTAGGGAGCAAGCCTCTGGGATCACCCCACTCGTTTTGGGTAAGGTACCTGGTGAAAATGTCTGCCCTGGGGACACCCAGCACAGGACTAGGAGCCCGTCCCATGCAGCACTGGGGCCATTGCCAGAGGTGTGGGCTCCTCTCTCAACATTTCTCTACCAGACAGACTGTCCTTAGAGTTTGACTTAGCTGTGGATTGGGATG